GCAGCGGCGGCGGCGGCGGCGGTGGAGGAGGAGGAGGTCGCGGCTGCAGGCGCCGCTGGAGCTGCCGCCTCAGCTGCAGCGGCGAGCGCTGCTGGAGGAGCCCGGGCCGGGCCGGAGTCCGAACTGAAGTCGGGGCCGCAGCCGGATCACGAGCCCGGGTCAGGGCTGCCCGCGCCGCCGCTGCTGTCCCGGCGGGAGCGCTCGCTGGGCTCGGGATTGAGAGAAGCGCGGTGAGCCGAGCGGGGCGCGGGGTGAGGCTGCCGGCGGTGATCAGGGAGCGCTGGTGTCGGGGGGCCAGGTCCAGGGCCGGACGCAGCCAGCCATTCAGGAAGGCAGCTCTGGAGAGAGGGAGGCAGCCGGCGAGGAGGATCACACACTTTGCTCTTTTTGTTGTGCCGGTGGCGCCCGGCTCTCGCTGCCTTCTTCTTTCGGGAGGTGACGGAAGGGGAGAAAAATATGAGATAATTCACGCCGGCGATGAATTCACAGCGAAATAGAAAAAATAAAAATCAGAAGAAAAAGAATTGCAAAAAATAATAGTAAAAAGCGAGAGAGACATCCAAAGTAGGTCGAATAAATAATCCTCTTCTTTTCCTCTTTCTTGCTGCTTCTTCTGCTTCTTCTGCTATAATACACAGAGCTAGTTAAAAAAACCCTGGAGATCGCCCAAAAATGTTCTTTTTTTAGTATTTTAAATAAGTGCTCTTCAGCCGAGAACCAACACCCTCCCTCCAAAAAAAATCATATATGTATAAAATAACGATAAGAAGAATACGAAGGGGATGCCTCCTCTTTTTTTTTTTTTTTTTTAAGTTTAGCCCTCTCTCTTCTGCAGGAATGAAGTAAAAGAGACAAGAAGGAGGGAGAAAAAGGAGAGATAGAAGAATACGGGTGAAACAACTAATAGAATATGTAAGAAAGGAGAAAGGGGAGAGAAGAGAGCGAGGAAGAGAAGAGAGATTGAGAGAGAGAAAGAAAGAGAGAGGCAGAGGAGGAGGAGAAGGAGGAGGAGGAGGAGGAGAGAGAGAGGAGAGAAGAGAGACCCCAAAATTGAATGCGTTTAAACGGGAGGACTCGCAGAGCAATGTTTCCGAAAGGGGGATCTGCGCGAATGTCTGTATATAGTGAACTTTGACACTACTATTGAAACTGACACGTTTCTATGGAGATCGCTGCCTTATATGGAGCTCGTGTCAAGGAGCCAGGAGAAGGGCTGCTGGCAACTGATAATCAAAGGCGACTGACTGGTCAGAGCCCTGAATGGGGGGTGGGGGGGAGAGAGAAAATGGGAGGCTAAGGTTAGCCAAGCCTCCTGCACGCCATTGGTTGGAGAGCCCCTCCCCCTTCCTCTTTTTCTTTCTTTCTTTTTTTTTTTTTCCCCTCCCTCTTAGCTACCTACTGAAGGGGATGGCGAGGGGAGGAGGAGAGAAAGTGAGGGAGGGGGGTGTGCTTCTGACAAGCGCAATTTACATTGAGATCGCCCTGCGCTGCTATTTACTCTGAGACCTGATTAGTATGGGTCGTCTATGGTCACACACACACACACACACACATACACACACACGCGCGCGCGCGCACACACACGCACACACACACACACACACACACACCAAAGGGGGAAGGGATGGCGAAGGGGAGAATGCCTTGCAATGTGCAAAAAGAGAATTAGAAGGAAATTATTTTGATTTCTTTTGAAAAGTTTTTAAAATTAGGTTTTGTGAGTGTGAAGAGAGTGTCATTGAAAATGTTAGGAAATTTTTTAATGGAAATTTAACTCTCACCATTTTAATGATTCGTGATATACAGTGGGTTTGGATTGTTTTCTTCTTTCACATATAAGCATAATCCAAGTGTGGATTCTGCTCATTTTATATCCTTTTAAGAAACGAGGTAGGGACTCCCTATTTTTTGGTCCTAAGTATATCTTGGTTTTAATTACGACAAAACACAGTCCTGAAATTTGCAGCTATTGACACGAAAGCAATCTGAATTGAATGGTTCCTATTGATCCCAGAGACGATTTTAAAAATAAACTTTGCAATCCTTCTGATTTTTCTTTCTTCCTTCTCCCCCGCCCCCTTTGGTATCCTCAGGCTGTGCCAAACTCAAAACAACACTTGAATAATTATTAAGAAAACAGTAATAAGTCCTCATATTGTGTGTGGGGCGGGGGCAAGTCAGTGTCCCAGGAAAAGGGGAAAGGGGAGAGTGAATGATGAAGACAAGACGATGGGAGATTGGGAGAGGTGGGGAA